TATGCACCAGTATGGGACACATCATCTCCATACTAGTTCATATGGGGGTGGGGCCAAGAGGCTTGGAGAGTGTGGGCGGGGGCTCCGGGCTGGGACAGAGGGGATGGTGTGCAGAGGGGTGAGGGCTCTGGCCAGGTGTGCAGGCTGTGGGATGGGGCTGCAGATGAGGAGTTTGGGGTGCAGACTGCGGTGGGGAGAGGACTCCCCCCAGCCCTCTCTCACCACAGCTGCTTGGGACTGGGTGCAAGGCACCTCTCCCCAGCCGTGGCAGCTCCTGTGGCTGGGGCGAGGGAGGAGTTCCTCTCCCCAGCAGCTCCAGTGAAACTGGACCAAGCCTGGGGAGGGGCTCCTCTCCTTCCTTCCTTCACGGCCCTCGATAGTCAGCTGGTCACGCCCTCCCCCTGTCCCACCGTGTCCTGCATTGGCATGACAGAGAGTTGCCCCACTCACCCCACACTGATCCCTCTTGTGATCACCTCTGCACCCCATGTTCACCACTTGTGTAGGGTTATGATATTTTGTGTGCAAAGTGTGCCTGGTGAGGGATCATTGGAAAACTCATGATCTGCTGAATATTGTGCCGTTGAAATGTGTGTGACACCAGTGCATGTAGAATGGTGAGATTTTAATGTATGTTTGTTGCTAGGCTGACCATATTCCAGGTGCCCCAAAAGAGGACACTGATGGGGGGTGGGAGCTGATGGGGGGTTGTAGAGTTAGAGGTGCTGGAGGGGGTGCGGTGGGGATACTCAGGAGGTGAGGGCAGTGTTGGCAGCTGTCACAGTGGCAGAGTGCTGGCAACAGCTGTCAGTCAGCGCCGACCTGCGGGACACTCCCCCAGGACTGGGAGTCTGGGCCTGGGTGAGTGGGATCTCGCAGCAATCAATCAGCTGTGGATGCAGGGCAATTGGCTAGTTGGAAAGGTGAATAATCAGGGATGTTTCTGAGTTTCAGCACTTGTGCTCTGCAAACACCCCCGGACATTTGTTGTTATGGCAAAACCCCTCAGCAGGCTCAAACAAGAGGATCTGTCCATAAGGACCCAGACATATGTCAAAGTTTTTGTTACTGAAATATGTCATAGTTCAAGGGATTGTCCCACTCAAAGTCCTGAGAGATGAGAAAGGACCGACTGTGGGTGTTAGAAAACCCTTATCTGGCCGTCCATCACCAACAGGAAGAAAGGGGTAAACAAAGAAATTTATAATTCACCTGAAGGATGCTTTGGAGCTCACACACACCATGAAGTTGCCTGACCCCATGACTGTTGGCCCCTTACTGAAACTTAGTGCACAGGGGAGGGGTTGGTTGGCTTCTCCCAGTACCAAAAGACAGGAAGATCCAATGAGAAAAGAAAACCCTGAGGCAGGCAGGCCAATGAGGGAGTCAGGTGCCAGTTCTCTGTGTGAGCTGGAGCTGCCTGCCAGAGAAGGGCAGAGCTAAGGGGAGAGGAGCAGCGAGAGCTGGGTTGGAGGCAGAGGAGTAGAAGCACTGATGCAGAGGGAAGCTGGGGCTGGAGCAGTCTGGAGCTGGGTGTGGTGAGCAGCTGGGGAGAGCGAGGGGGGGCGGATCCTGGGCAGCGTGGGATGACATCATGTTTTCCTTTCCCCTTTCCCATTTTTTCCTTAATTTTTTTATTACTTGCTGTTTAATAAATCGTATTTGTTCTGAACTTTACGCAATGCTGAATAGCGGCATCAGGGATGCGTCCGGAGTGAAAAGAGCACCCCAGAGTGCGGATACGACATCCTAGCCTCTGTCCTGACTGATCACAACAAAATTTGGGCTGCAGACCCCGCAGGAATCTTGGGGCCAGCCTTGTCGGGGTTTCAGATACCAGAGTGGAAGGGGAGTCCTTGAGGTCTGGCAGGTCTCCAGGTAAAGGGAGTGGGAGCGAGGACTCAGCTCCTTTTGCTATTCGATTCTATCAGGGTGGTGTATAAGCCAGAAGAGTTCCCCACAATACTAAGACCGTTTCCCCTGCTTACCTCTGCATATTTATTGGTTTCTCGTAAAGTTAGTTAGGATTACAGGGGAAAGTGTCAGAGCGGCCACCAGTGAGAGTTGCTGGCCACACACTGAGGCCACCACATTTGGTCGTGAGAACCCCTGGACTAGATGCTCATGATGGGCCCTTCTGATCATAGAGCCTGTGAGTGGAACAGGAGCCGGACACAGAGATGCTGCAGCGCGGTGGTTTGATCGCTAGGACCCAGGAGCAGCTGGGAGGCGGCTCTGGGGGGAGCGATCGCTGGGGTCACTCCCGGCAGCCGCTGCGGTGACTCTGGCTCCAGGCTCCTGGCGAGATCCCCGAGCCCCGGCGGCTGGTGCTGGGAGCCCGGAGCCCTGGCTGCAGCCGGGAGAGGGGAATCTCCA